CCTCTCTCCCTCGTCTTCTCTCGTCCTCCACCCTAACCCCCGGGGGGCACTCCTCGCACTTCAGCTGCCCTCCCGGCCATCAGGGCCACTCCTCGGCACCCGTCCTTGCATCATGTGTGTGTGTGTGTGTCTTTGCCTTTGCTGCAACCCCCCTTTTGCCTGCTCTATAACCTAAACACACACACACACACACACTAACACACTAACACACACACACAGACACACACACAGGCTCTCTCTCCACTTCCTACTGACGACTGCAGACGCACACCAGCGCTCGGAGCTCCCGCATGCTGAATGTCATTTCATGACTGGAGGAATGGTCCCTCTCCCGCTCCATAAAAAAGAGAGCCCCCCCCCCCCACCCCCCCTCCTCCTCCTCTCAGACGCTCAGAGCTGCAAACATGCTGCCCACCCAGCCCCCGGGTAATAAATCAGCCCGCCTCTGCTGCATCCAGCAAAAAGGGGGGGCTGGTTTCTTCTGCAGACCTGCCGTCCTGTGTCGTCCACCAACCACCAAACCCCCCCACTGGCTAATTTCAGCCCAATCCAACGAGTCCAGCCGGAGTCCTGTTTTTGTTTTTGCTGCAGAGAGAAACCTATCTCTGAAACGACTCCATCTCCCAGCTACTGTACCTCACCTCCTGATCCCCGTCCAACCTCCATTCCCCCCCTTCCCCCTTTTTTCCTCTCCTCCCTTTTTCGATTACGTCTGTGTGCTAATCTTAGTCCCTCCGACTACCTCTGCCTCCTCGCTCGGTCCCCGTGTCTGCTCTGTGCTTTCCTCTCTGTGTCTCTGTGCCTCTTTGCTCTGTCTCTGTCACACTCTGCAAGCATGCAACACCCCCCCCCCCCCCCTCCCCTCCCCCCTCATAGATCTGCTCCCTCTCATCCCTCTCCCTCCCTTCCTCCCTCCCTCCCTCCATGCCTCCTCTGGTAAATGTGCTTGGATTGCTACCCTGATCACTGCCTCACTTATGCTTGCAAGAAATGCCCGTCTCACCGTGCATGCTGTGGCCCTGATGTTGTGTATTAAAAAAAAAAGGCAGATTTCAGATCAAACCCTGCCTCCTCAATGTCCTCCTTTCAATCCTTTTGTCTCGGCCCTCGTCTCAATTTTCCTAAGCACTTCAAACGCTCTCTTTTCCTCTTTTCCTCAATCTCTGTCACACATCATCAAGCAACCATGCTTCCAGGAGTGGGGGGGATTACAAGGGGAACACTGCATACCCCATTTATCTTCTTCATTTCTCCTCACTGTACTGGGGATGCACCTATTTTATCCAGATCCAAAACCCCGCAAGTGTTTTCTATCTTTCCATCCCTTATCCTACCTTTTCTGTCCCCTTGCTCACCTTCCATTAAAGCCCCACGGCTCTCGACAGAAATGAGTGCCGGTACTGTACTTTAGCGTGACATTGAAAGCTGCATTCATGAGATTTATGTTGAGGTCGTGAGGAAATGTGATGGTCTCCCTCCATTACACCCACAGATACAGGAAGACGAATGACACTTAATTAACATACCCGCATCCACCAATTGAGTACATGTATCTTCATTTTTGAGCCAAGAAAGCAGAAGATATGTTTAAAAAAAAACGTAATAAAGACCATAGAGTTGTTTCCAAGATGTGAGTCACAATGAGATTTTCCCATCTGGGAAACTGAGTAAAGATTTGCTTGAGTAAAAGATGAGAAGGTCTGACACCAGAAAGAAGAAATGGCTTAAGGTGACGGGTTCACTTCATTTGTGTTGCATCTCCACTTAGTTCCGCTTCAGCGATTTTGGATTATAAGCCTTTTTCTAGATGGCATTTTGTTTTTTTTCTGCAAAACGATGTGCCCTTTGAGATGCTCCGGAATATCTGAGAGACCTAAAAAAAATAAAAAAAAAAGAAGCAAACAGCATTAAGGTGCATGCATTCACCTCAAACAGACGTTTTCGACCTTTATGGGGAGTGCAGTGCATGCAAAATCCCCCTTACATGTGTGTGCAGCACAGATAAAGAGCAGGGCTAGCCAGGGGAGACAGCGATCAGAAGAGATTTTGTGTGCTCAGCATCTTCTGTTGGGGGACTTGCAGGGGGGGGGGGGGGGGGGGAGGGGGGGGGGCTTTCCCTCACCAAGGACATATGGTGCTGGACTGCTAAAGAGAGGAGAGGCAGGCTGGTGGAATGTGATGGCTTTGGTTAACCAAGGGTTTCAAACAGAAGCATTGGCTTCATCCAGTTGGTGGAAAAGATGGCAGGAATGAGAGAGGGGCGCAGGTGTGTTTCTTCTTCTTCTCCTCTGTGACCCAGAACAGCCAATAAAAGCTGGCAAAAACACACATACTGTACTCTGAGTTCATACTTTCATTAAACATGACACAAGTAAAGAAATGGAAATGGAAAAGTCCTGATGCAGGCAAGGAATACAGTGCCAAAAATCCCAAAGGAAGGTTCGTGGAGTCTGTGGGGACCAAACATTTAAAATATGTTATACTTGCTTTCAGTTTGAGGTTTAATCTAATTATAATGCACATATCAACATACCTAATTTTTGCTTAATTAAAATGTAAATATCTAATAGAGATAATCAATATTTAAAACGCTGTTGTGGGTATAAGAGTGATATCAAAGATGATTCGCCCAAAATGACCATGTGACAAATTATGGAAATCAGATGTGATGATTAATGAATGATTCTGGGATCATCGTGAGTGCCACATTGGTATTTAAATTAATGCAAGTTAAAAAAGAGCCAAACCAAGCTTGTTGACAGATGAACCACGGTTGATTAAATTATGCCTGATTGAAGAAGCAGGAATACGCAATACAGTCATTTTAAAGTCTACCTCGAAGGAGTTTTTAAAAATGGCCTTATCTCTAGTTCGGTGTTCTTATTTTCACTGTGGTCTTCCAAGTCCAGACCTCATTTTCTAAGAGTTGGAGAGTGTACCTGGTGGTCCCTTCTCATGTTTGTCACATATGGGACATGATGGAAACTTTACATCCATCCAGTTATTTTTTTCCCCCACGGAAGCTGTGATAGGCTCCAAAAATCATATTGCAATAAAAGTAATAGTAACTAAATAGCAAGCTGTTATTAATCTTTTACAATTCTCAACTCAGGGTTATGATGTCAGTACGCCCTCTTGTGGATATCTACGAATACAACATCTTAATTTCACAAAGTCTTGATAGTGTGTCAGCTTTAACAACGAACCACCAGAAGAGGAGCCCTCACACCACAAACACTACAAGACTGGACTCAAGATGTGTTGGAAATAGGAGTTTTGTTATGATGTTTTTTATTGTTTCTCAGTGTGAAAAATGTAAACGTTTTTAAGAATCCTTATTTATCACATTGCGAAAATATACAACAGATTTTTTTTAGATTTATTTAGTAGTTTTTTAGTATCTTTAGTTAATTCAATGTAGGATATCCCCTCACAATTAAGTGCCTGAATCACACAACATAATCAAAAATCACAAATTTCTCCAAATAAATGCTTTGAATTCGTTGAAGATAAAAACTAAGGATTTCCATGATGTCTAACCTGGAAGTAATTACGTCGACAGATATTTTATGCATATTTTACATACATATTTTACGAAAATGTTGTCATGTTTATGGTTTCTTTTTTTATAAGTGTTGTTGCTTAGGAATAGTTTCGTGTTTTATTTTGTTATTCATTTACTGTTTGTTACAGACATATTCACACCTTCGGATTAAAATATTACACTTTGACTAAGCCTTAATCACAACTACGGCCTACAAAACGCCATGTATGACATCATTCCTGAGTAAATGCAGTCACTTCAAATTATGCGTGTGATACGATTTATTAGATAACAAGCACCAACAACATAATCGTTAAAAAATATTGAATAAATAATAGACGATATTTTTAAACTATACTGACAACCCGGTTGCCGGAAGTCAGCATCAGCTTCCGGTAACACGTCATCAGCTGCCACCGGAAGTGCCGCTCCAGGTTTCCCCTGCTGCCACCAACTGCGCTCTGCTCTGCTAAGACTCAGTCATGTCCGCGGCCGGAGACTTCGGAAACCCTTTAAGAAAATTTAAGTTGGTCTTTCTAGGGGAACAGAGTGGTAAGCCGAACTTATATGTCGTCCTGCTTGTTGTCGGACTTGAATCTTACTCCGCTGGGAATGGAGCCGACACTTGAGTTGAATGTATCGATCCGGTGATTAACGCCGACCCCTTAGCTAGCCAGCGTTAGCCGCGTAGCCTCGCTCCTAGCATTGCGACACTGTTGATATCGTCAGCCTGTCCACGCTGGCCGTGTGAACTCTCATCCAGATGACTCACCTGTGTGGAAATGGATTCGGTCACCTGTTATCTATCTCTGTTTTTTTGTGTCAAACACAGAGACGGTGGACGTTTGCTCAAAGTTGGCCTAGTGTTCAAAGGAAATCCAGCTACTTTCTGTATCATTCCCATTTGTAGTTTTGGCATTGCTTTATTTATCTCAGTGCAGCAGCTAAGACAACAATAAATTAAGAGACATAATACACTAGCAGACAGCTTTTGAACCCCTGGGGCTCCTCCAGTTATCCAAACAAGGCACCCCTCTTGTCATAATTCTTATCAGCTAAATTGAACACAAGCTGTTCTTAGATTGGAAGAAATCTTAGATGGGAGCTCACTAGATAGTTATCCAACATTCCTAATTTAAGTGCCTGCTTCAAGCTGTAAAAAAAAGTGCTTGTTATTTGTTTATTTTTCCAGCTGCTGTGCAAACAGCTTTTCCAAGGATTCTCATGCCAACAGAGTTTGAAATATAAGCTGCATTCAGTAAAGAAAGATCACTATTCATTCAAATTCATATTGATAGGAGAACATTTAATATTCTTAAATCTTGTAATCTAGAGTTGATACAGTGTTTTGTAGCTGAATTAATCTAAAGTATAGGAAGTAAACACCTCTTTAGGACCTTATGGTCTGTATCATGTTTTAAAACTAACATATAGGTTGATTTTAACTGTGTGTTTTTATTTTATGACCTGGTTAGATGGAGATAGAGTGGAGAGGCTGGTATTTTTAGTATTTTCTTTTTTTCTCCCACATGTGTTGAATCCTCTAATGTGATTGGAGACAGGACGCAGACCCTGTGTTTATCTGACAGCATGCAATCAGGCTGCTTGTTGCCTCGTAAACAGCTGTGTTGGTTTTAGCCTCTTCACCATCCCCGCGTCCACACTGTAACCGATATTGTAACTCGAGCTCCACAAAAACACTCAGACGCCGGGGGCAGGGGGGGCTTGAATTGCATGGCACTTTCTGCACCGTTGTTGTAAAAGTGGTGGAAATGCCAATGGAATCGTATTAGTTTACATCTGCCAAATAAAGGCAAGATGGTAGTGTATGATCCTAAGATCATGATGAATTTAACCAAAGGCATCGCGTTGCCATCCAAGGCACAAGTTTCAAAAGGAGAGAGAGAAAGTGGGATGCCTTCTTCTGACTCCCGCTTTTCTTTTCTTAACCCTCTTATTTTACTCATTTATTGAAGTGTACTCAGCAACCTGGCGTTTACAGGATAGACACGTTTGGACACGACCGACTCGTTGGTGTCAGCTTTAGTCTTTTGTGTGTTCATCTGTTGCTCGTGGTCTTTTTGAAACGCAGCTTCAGTTTGGACACGCAGAGCCCAACTATGGACTGGTTATATTAATAAAACATGTCACTGCTCACAAGTAACTTACCTGAGGGTTTCATTTGGAGGTTGAGTTATTATTTATGGTATTATCTTAACTTATATCTATTAACCATTTAGTTCCAATGTAGTGATAATATAATTATTGTAATAGTTATGGTTGCAACATCTCCTTTTCCAGATTATTAAACGTATAAGTGCTGCGTCATGCGTCGTAAATTAAATATGTTTGACTGGTTGACAGTTGTCCAATGCAACAATCAATCAAATGGCTTAATATTTTTCTGTATTTTGTAATTCTCTAATAGAATAGTTGGCTTTATTTGAAATTGTGAAACTGCTTCTCCAGTCGGAAAAGCCACACTGTGTTCATAATAATAATATAAAAGTAGTGATCACCAAACGATGATGTCCACATTCTTAAGATTTGTTCCCATCTGTTTGTGTTTCAGTGGGAAAGACTTCATTGATCACCAGGTTCATGTATGACAGCTTTGACAACACGTACCAAGTGAGTCGGTTGTGTTTTTTCAATGTTCAGTCAGTACTTTTACATGCCACCACGGTAAAAAAAAACATATTGATTCTCTTTGTCTGACTGCAGTTAGACTTAAGATAACTGCAAGAATGGTACAACCAAAAAGTTAGAAGCAGCACTATGTTTCACATATCCCTTTAATTATAGATCAGTTAGGAAGTTTTTCCTTGTGCTATTAACAACAACTATGCCTTTTTTTGTCACATAAGACAAATCAATTTAATTTTTTTATTTTAATTTTGTTGTTGTTTTGATCCATAGTTGAGAAAAAGGGGCAGATATTATAAGATTATTTTCTTCTTTCTGCTACCTTTCATTTCATTTTTTAAATTAATTTTTTCTTTGTATTGAATGAAATGAAAAATTTTCTTTGTATTGAATGAAATGAATAAATAAATAAAAAAATAAAAAAAATAAATGTACTGTACCTATATCATATCATAAATGAATTCTGGAAGTGCAAACCTGAAAGTCTCATTCATTCTCTTCTATTTCAGGCCACAATAGGAATAGACTTCCTGTCAAAAACCATGTACCTTGAAGACAGAACAGTAAGTTTGTTTTCTCTGTGTTCTCAGAGGAGATGCTGACGTGTTTGATGTTGGTTGCGTAACCGCTGTGTCACGTTTCTCCGACAAACTCTCTGTGCTGTGTTGCCCTTAAAGTGTGAACAGGAAGTTTGACCCCCTTTTGGAAAAGCTTCACTTTCGGTGTCTTTTCTCTCTCCCTGAACCGAAGTTTTCTTGCTCTTCTTCCTGCTCCTCCATCTATTTCTCATCCCGTTTTGTTTTAAATGAAGCACCTTACTTGATCAAGAGAGGAGGGTTGATGACAAGTGAAGGGTGACTGCTTACTTCTTTTCCCTCCAGGCCGACAGCTTGAACTCTCTCTCTCTCTTTCTGAGTCATTCGCTAGGCTCTCTCTGTTTCTCGAGCTCTCTTCTCCCCATCATTCTTAATTTCTTTGGTTTTCTTTCAGTTCGTTTGCTGCGTAAACGTAGCTCATTTGTCTGTTTTCTTTTTCTTGTTTTATTTTTACCCTCTCTTTTATTTTATTTTTTTGCTTTTTTTTTTCTTTCCTCTTTTTTTTTTTTCCCGTCCCATCCTGTTCCCAAACCCCACAGATCAGGTTGCAGCTGTGGGACACAGCGGGGCAGGAGCGATTCCGCAGCCTCATCCCCAGTTACATCAGAGACTCCGCTGCTGCCGTCGTAGTGTACGACATCACAAGTAGGTGACCCCCCCCCCCCCCTTTGTTTTAGGTTTTGTTGAGGAACAAAATGACAAAAACGTGAAGCGATCATTGTCTTTGATGACAAAAATGGCATTGAGTTTGTCCCATCTAGTGAGTTATGCTACTCCTAAAAAGCCGGGGAGCTTCAGACACTGGTGAAGAACCAGATCTTTGCATTAACTCAACCAAAACAGGGATATGTAATTTAAAATTAAGAACTCATTCAAGATGCTCAGAATTGACCAGCACCCCATCTTTGAACGTCCATTTCTATCAAATGGTTCAAAGCTTCAGAAATTATGATTGAGAGCCAGTTTTTAAAGACTCTATATGAACTTTGTGAATAGTTTTGGTTGTTGTCAGGATTACAACAGCTGTACAGCTAATTAGGCTGCATTTAGACACACACTGATCTTCCACTAAAAAGGTTAGAAACAGCCGAAGGTTGTGAATTTTTTCCCACCGTCCTCAGAGACTATTCCAAAATGAGAAGACACGGTGGAGTTGTAACAGCGGCTCTGCTTCCTGTGTCTTTCCTCTAGATGTCAACTCTTTCCAGCAAACCACAAAGTGGATTGATGACGTCAGGACAGAGAGAGGAAGTGATGTCATCATCATGCTGGTGGGAAACAAGACAGACCTCGCAGACAAAAGGTAACTCGTTCTTCCCTCTTTTACCCAAGAAGAGCGTACCAATAAAGTCACTTATTCTAAATGCTAACCTTCCAAAAGCATTAGAGCGTGTGGTCTGTCTCCTTCACGGACGCCAACACTAAGACTGTCATTTTTTCCCCTAAGCCTAATGAAGTAGTAAATGTCAATTAGGTGGTGATCTCCACCTCTAAAGTGAAGTTGCATTCTGTCTTGCTGTGCATCTTTTAACCCCCCCTTATCTACCACAGGCAAGTATCTATTGAAGAGGGCGAGCGGAAAGCCAAAGAACTAAATGTAATGTTTATAGAGACTAGTGCAAAAGCGGGCTACAATGTAAAGCAGGTAAGAGTGTGTGTGAGTCGTGCTCCGGCACCCGGCTGTGCACGCGGCCACTTCTCCCCCCCCCAAAAAAAGCCTCCCTCTAAAACGAGAGCCGAGAAAGTGGAAAAAGATAATAGTTGCTTTTCGCAAAGTTTCAGCCAGCTCTCTGGAAATCTTAAAACCAATTCTTGTCTTCTTTTTTTTATTAAAATCCGGGAGGCTTTGGGCCTTGAGCAGTGGTGGCTGTCACAGTGGGAAGGGGCACGGCTTGTTTTTGTGCCTCAGCATAATCAGTGTCTTTTTTTTGTTGTTGTTTTTCTCTTGTCTGTGTGTGTTTGGCCGTGTGTGTGTGTGTGTGTGTGTGTGTTTGTGTGTGTCCTGTCGGGTGCTCTTGTGTTACGCGGCTGTGGCTCGGGGCTCACCACAGACAGATAACCACAGAGGAGGGCGAGCAGAGAGCCAAAGACATGAATGTTCTGTTTATTGAAACGAGTGCAAAGACAGGCTACAATGTGAAACAGGTAGAGGGTGTGCACCCCTGTGTGTGTTAACGGCACTCCTGCTCTCTTCTGATTGATTTCTATTTCACAAAAAAAAAAAAAGGCTTTGACCATCGGCTTCCAATGAGGTGCATGGTTTTTGTTATTTTTTTGCCAAACTGTGTTTCATTCAGACGTTATTTCCATTGGACAGCTTTTGATCTCAAGGCCTTGTGGATGGGTCAGAGTTTGCAAAACGAATAATCCTCTGATAAGCACAAAAACAGGATTTGTTTTTACTGTAATCTGCATGTTGGCAAGTCCCGCTGGAGATGTGCACGTTCAGCTTCGCCTCATACAGAACACGTTTTCCTTGCATCACGTCAGTGTCCATAAGTTACTGAACACCGTCCAGACTGAGAGTGGAGGATATCAGTAGTTTGCGACCACATCGTCTTTTTTAAACGCACAGAAAAATGTCCTTGCCTCAACACAAGCAGTTTTAAAATAAATAAAATAAGAGTGGCATTTTTCTCTGCGCAGTCACGCGATCAGATCATAAAGAACACTCCATGTTGGTACCATTTAGATATGTTTGTGTGTTTTTTTTGTTCCTGATGGAATCTATCTATTTGTCCCCCCCTCCAGCTTTTCCGTCGGGTGGCAGCCGCCCTCCCCGGCATGGACACCACGCAGGACAAGAGCAGAGAGGACAGTATCCTTCTTTGTCCCTGTGTGACGTAACAGAGGAGTTATGTTTCCTCACACTCTGCCCCGCTTGAATCTGTATGGGGCTTGTTCTGGAAAACTTAGTGATCCTTCTTAAAGACTGTTTTAACACACACACATAATCAGACATTTAGCTCAGTGCTTTCAAGATAGATAGATGGCCACTCTGAAATGTTCTGGTGGGGTTTCCTCCACAGGGGAGAGGAAATGGAGGGTTAGCAGTTTGATTCACAACGAGAGCATATGCAGAAGAAAGGTTTAATTAAAAATATAAAAACTGACAAAAACATTGATATACAAAAACATTCTGACTTCAATTAAGAGGTCTTCCATCCATCCAATTGATTTAATACATCAGTTTGACATAGATAGATAGATAGATAGATAGATAGATAGATAGATAGATAGATAGATAGATAGATAGATAGATAGATAGATAGATAGATAGATAGATAGATAGATAGATAGATACTTTATGGATCCCCAACGGGAAATTTATCTATGTATGTATATATATATATATATATATATATATTTATTTATACCCAGAACAAAAACCTCCCCTGAGGTTAGATTTGGCTGTTTTATTAAATGGCCAGTAAGCTTCTAGGTGTGAAGTTCAAATTTATTTGTAACTTTCTACGTCAACACGTCTGTTTGTTTCTGATGAAGATGATTATCCCCACATTGTTCTTCCTGTTTATAACTGTGGGGGTGAATCTAAATCCAGGCTGTGTCTGTGTTCCTTAACTCTTTAACCCCGCAGTGATCGACATAAAGCTGGAGAAGCCACCAGAGCAGCCTGTCAGTGAAGGGGGCTGCTCCTGCTAATGCTTTCGCCTACGTAACTGACTCTTTTTTTTTTTTGTGGAACCCAGTCAGTTTTCCTGTATATTTCCCCCTTCGATTCACCCACCTGAATGAGAACACTACGTCCGTTATCTCCTCCAGTGTGACCGCCTGCTCTCTCATATCGAGACGCTCCGACCTTCTCACATATCACCCAAATTGAATGTTTGCACTGTAACACGCATGCAGTGAAACATTAATTACCCAGCTCCTGTTGCTAGTCATTTCAGATGGTACAAGAGTCACAGAGATCACGTTTTGCACCCACGTGGGAGAGAAAATGTATGACTACTGTAAGATGTCAAGTCAAGATATGCGTTTCAGAGAATATTCTTTAAAATGTTTAATATCGCTTTAAGCTTCATAAGCACAGTGTGAATGTTGAGTTATTTTGCCTGTTATATGTTCTGTTGTGATTGATTGGCAAGAAGTAATTTACAAGTAACTAAAACTGAAAGAACTGCTTTTACTGATTGGAATAATATTAGTCCTATTTCTGCAAATCTGTGTTGAAGTAAATCATTAATCAGTTTTTGGTGTACATCCATGATGCAGACAAAACACCCAAGGAACCAGTTAGATTTGGAGTTGCGTGTACCAGGAGACATTTTTTTCTACTACTGACAGACACACAAATGCACTGCAAACAAACGCAGACACTACATCATCCGAGTGCACCCTGAACACACCATAAGATGTCATCATCCCAATTCACCATCCCCCCTCCCCCTCCCGTTCATATCCTGAGAGATTTTTTATTTTTACCTTGCTCTTCTTTTTTTTACTACTTTACTGCAAATAATCCCCACCCTTAAAGAAAACAATTGCAATTTCATAGATTATAACTATAGCTTTGATAGAGTTTAAGGGGTATTTTACTTAAAAACCCATCATAAACTAAATGGATATGGAGGTTTATGCCTTTTTGTACTGAAATTTTAGAGGGCTTACGCGGCTTTGGATTTATGTAGACAAGTTTGCTATGACCTTTTACGAACACTTAAAAAAACTGTTTTATTTTGCTCATTTTTACTTTTGGCATTGATATTTTCTTAGCAATTGATTGATTGACGTGTATTTAATTTACAATGACTTGAAATATTTATTTCTATTGGATTCATGCTTCTTTTATATATCTGTTAATATCTTCACTCTTGGTAAGGAGTCCTGAATCACTAATAAAAATATGCACCCACTGGACCACCTTGGACGGGATCTATAAGTGCGTCTGCCACCCCGGAGCGGGTGTGTGATCAAACTGAAAAAAATTGTGCAATTTTTGTGAAGAGGAGTCCAATTTGTATAACATAATAGTCCTTAACGTTTCTGTCTGAAATGGTTTTAAATGAAAGAATAAATATACACTTCTCACCGCTGCTGGAAGTTATTGATGTTTTGGTAAAAAATGCATGAAAAAAAAAACTGAATGGGAAAAAATGGGGTCATAAAACTTGCCAGATGTGTAGACAGTTGCAGGACTTTGGACCAGCACATGGTATAACACACAATGGTTAAATGCAAAAGACAGCGGCCATTTGAATAAGCTTTGCATGGCCTTAAGCAACACTATGGAATAGTTATTCAAAGGCAGAAAATAAAAGTTCATGGGTTCTATCTTTTATTGAGCTATATTCACAATTGTGACATCCCATACAAAAGCTTAATGTCAGCATTTTTGTGTGATTACTTAAATAAATGTTCTTCTTCATGCAGTTATACAGAGGGAAAATAGTTAATTAAATCAAGTTTTGCCCTGCATTTAAAACTAACCAGACACACTTTGTTGTGCACCACAACATTTGGTAAATGTAATAACATTTTAACTAAATTCAATATGTATAAATTGCGTAGAAAATTACTACAAAAGTAATTACATTTAATTAGCTAATCATTTGGATCCTTGAATCCTGAGCTTTTCTTGTTTGTACCACAGTTTGGCCGTTTCTTGGCAAATCTCGCGAGATTCCCGTAGGCAGAAGTCACCATGGAAACCAAGCTTAACAGCCGCACCGCTGTGTTTTGATGAAATGAGCTTTACTTTGTTTTTTGACTGCAATTATATTTCCTCCCACAATGAGTCAAGATTACTATGAGACGCTTGAATTAAACTGGAAAGCAACAGACGCTGACATAAAGAAGGCGTAAGTTCTCAAATACGTCAAACCTTAAGCCAAAGTGAACATTTTCAGCCGTTTTGTGGCGTTTTTGTGTCACTCCCTCTCGTTTCCACACACAGATATCGACGTCTTTCCCTGAAGTTTCACCCGAGAAGAAACAGAGAAAACGATACCCTCGAGAAATTCACTCAGCTTGGCGAAGCCTATGATGTTCTGAGCGACCGTAGGTTTCTCCTCTTTTACGTTAAATGACATACAAAATAGGTTTGCTTTTCTTGTAACTGCATTTTAAAAAACTCCATATGTATCTATTCTTTCAGCTCGAAAAAAAGCCACCTATGAGAAATTTGGGGAGGAAGGCCTAAAAGGTGGAATCCCTGCTGAGTTTGGCAGTGGTGGGGCTTGGTCATCAAAATATGTCTATCATGGGGATCCAGACAAAACATTCAGAGAATTTTTTGGGGGTGACAATCCCTTTGCTGGTAAGAGGACAACGATCAAATGGCCTTCAGTGAACTTTGCACCGTTTTGTTGATCAGGCTTTGCTTTCTTTTGACCAGACTTTTATAGCAACGATGCTCCCCTTCAGTTTGGAGGCCTGCAGCCAGACCTGGTGAAGACCCGTGATGCCCCCATAGAGAGAGACCTTAATCTGTGTCTGGACGACCTCTTCCACGGATGCACAAAGAAGATTAAGATATCCCGCAGGGTACAAGCTGCAATATATGAGACATCTATATCTTTCTTTCTTACCTGATTGATTTTAAATTCAGTTTTCTATACTTTAACTGGACTCAGAGCGTCTCAACCTCAAGATTGCAGTTGGAAACTACAACTAAATGGATCACGCAAAGACGTTTCAAATGATAGAAAGCTTTTGAAATTCTTCAGAGTTTGTGATCATATTTTGCACGTCAATTTTGAATGATTTATTATGTCCATGATGTGCTTCCTTTCTACACACTGCCTCGTTTGTATTGCAGGTTATGAATGATGACGGACACACATCCAGTATTAAAGACAAGATCCTGTCCATAAATGTCAAACCTGGATGGAAGGAAGGCACAAGAATAGTTTTCTCAAAAGAGGGAGATCAAGTAAATCCTGCACTTTGATTTTAAATGAAAATGCTGTCAAGAGATATCCAGTTTTGTATTAAAGTAGTGAATGAAATAACACTAAATAGATCAGCCAGAATCAGTCATTCTCTTCACTGCATTTTTGCTTTTTTTATTTTCTTTTATTGAAGTTTTACTTAGAGACAGTGGAATTTGGAAAGGTCGGGATCACTTTGAAACAAGTTTAGACTCTAGCAAATATCTTACTGGTTTGTAGTAAGTTACATTATTTTCAACATTTGGTCGTCTCTGCACAAATCAGACATTTTGTTTGCAGTGATTTTGTCAAAGGAGACCTTTTGGAAAAACCTGTTATTAGCCAAACAATGCTCGTTAATCATGTTGTTTTGTATGAAACCATCAGGGACCAAACAGCATCCCCGCAGACATTGTGTTCATCGTACGGCAGAAGACTCATCCTCAATTCGTTCGTCGGGGCAATGACCTCGTCTTCAAAGCCAAGATCTCTCTGGAGATGGTGAAAATTATATATGAAAGACTCAGAGTTTTTGTTTTAAGTCAACAAAGCTGCAAAGCTTACAAAGTGATTTTCTCTTTCCAACAGGCTCTGACTGGCTTCTCGGTGGACATTCAAACACTAGATGGCAGGCTCCTCAGCATCCCCATAAATGACATCGTGCAGTAAGTGCTTTCTCGTGTCGAGGCTCTAGCCGTGTTTAATGGAATATTTAGGAAGCTGTTTGATTTTTACAAGGTGTTCGGGGCCCGAATATCTAATCGGGGGAATTCGAGCACTTTATACAAACGGGGACATTTGTGTGCATCGTCTGCTTCAGTGGATGTAAAATGTCCCCCGCTCTGATTTGTTTTCCATATCAGCCCTGCGTACAAAAAAGTGCTGAGTGGAGAGGGAATGCCACTGTCCCAGGATCCTTCCCAGAGGGGAAACCTCATTGTTATTTTTGACGTCCAATTCCCAGATAAGCTCTCCGCTGAGAGTAAACTACTGATAAGAGAAGCTTTAGCTATTTAAGCAATAAAAACCTTTTTAACTACCACTCCTCGGAGTAGTGCCTTCTTTTGTTACGGTTGATTTGAAGAATACAAGGGAAGACATCTTAAAAGTAAAGTAATGGTCAGCTAAGATACAGAATCGTCAGATTTTTCATTATTGGTTACAGTGGGGTGGTGCTTCTGGGATTTGCTGCCATCATGACTCGTTTCAGCTGCTCGTAGGTTACGAACATCACCACGTTCCAGGAGCCCAGGCGTAGGAACGATGGCGTGAAGCTTGAGGGGGAGGAAAAAAACAGAAACAACACGATTGGTTGGATTGCTTGTAAAGCTTTTTCTCATGTCCGTGTCATTTTCGCTCACCCCTTATAAAAGGCCTGCGGGCCCTCTCTGGTCATCATGGCCGCCGCACAGCGGAGCACGCTGCCGTACTGGCCGGGGGCGGAGTTCATGTATCTGGTTTTGACCACGTCCACGGGGGAGGCGACCACCGTGGTGCACAGCCCGGCCCCGAAGGCGGACAGGAAGTGGCACGGCAGGCTGTCTGTGGAGGACAGGACGGAGGTTAGGCTGCTTATAGAAATTAGTGTTAACCCGATTCATTAGTTGGAAACCTGAGAATAAACCAGAGTGGATCAAAAATGTAAAAAATGACATTTATTGGGTCACAGTTAAGTATATCAGCGGTGGGCTCCTCTCTTTGTCTCCTGGGCAGGGCACACCCCTCAAATGAGGACTAGACACAACCAAGTCCTATTGGCCAGTTACCTCTGGGCCAGGTCCTAATTCATGCAGATGACATTGGAATGTGGTTACAAATGGTGTGTGTTTGTGTTGACCTATAGACGTGTATCTAATGCAACAGAAAAAGAAAAAGAGAGGAAGATAGTCTGTGGGCACAGCCAGACAATTTAACACAAAATATAGTTCTATAAGGAAATAAAACAATCAGTAATTTACATAGATCATGTGATAGCATACTATGCTAAAGTGAGTAATTATAGTCAAATCCTAACACGAGCTCCGCCCTCTGAGGCCGAGCCAAAGCGTCCGATTACCTGTCAGGGTGGTGGACCTGAGGAGCGTGTCCTTAATGAAGTCGTAGGTGACCAGTTCGGTGCAGTTGACGATGGCGTTGCGCGCCGTGTTTGGAGCCGTACCTGCACAGCAGATTTCCAAATGCACACAGTCAGATCGGCCGTGAGACGAGTCGCATGTTTGCTTCCTACGAGCTACCGTCCGAGATACTGCTGCCTCAGAAAGCTAGCCAGGTTTCAGGTTGACAAGACTCTGATGACCCTGTTCTATAGATCTTTTATAGAGTCCATACTTAGCTTCTCTACCATTTACTGGTACGCTCTTCTTAACGTAAGGAATAACAATGCAGTAAAATCACAGGTTTTCAACAGAAAAACATGACTCAAATGTACGAATAGCAGGTAATTAGGAAGGCTGAGTCCATCTTGGATAATTACACCCATCTCCTACATATCAAATTCTAGTTTCTACCATCTGGTTCCTGTTTTAAAGATCCAATAGATACAAACACTCCTTTATTCCCTCTGCTGTTCAGATGCAAAACTCTACTAGGAAAAGCAGATACTCATAGGTTGCATGCTTTTATTCATCCTCTGCACTGCACATATTTATTTATTTATTCACCTTTTATCTTTTTTTTTTATATCTTACGTGTTTCTTGTGTTTTTACGTGTGAAGTGTGAATGTGTTCTACTACTGCTGTACAAAAATTGCCCATACTGGGACAGATAAAAGCTACCGAACTGAACTGAACTGAACTGAACTGAACTGAACTGCACCTTTCCAAAGTCCCCGGACTCCCTCCTCCCTGGCGATGGTCTTGTAGGCGTGGATGGTGCCGCAGTAGCGTTTGGCCCTGTGGCCGGACACGGCCTGGGCCTGGAAGCGGACTTTGACCACGTCGGTGGGCTGGGCCAAAGCCACCGCCATGGCGCCCGTGGTGCAGCCCGCCAGCAGCCGGCTGCCCAGGCCAACGTCTGGAGCAGAACCGAGAGACGCCCGGTGAGAATAGTGCTGGTCAAAGGACCCCCAAGGACCCCCAAAAGACCCCAAAGGACCCCAAACGACCCCAAAGGACCTCAAAAGACCCCAAAGGACCCCCAAAAGACCCCAAAGGACCCCAAAGGACCCCAAAAGACCCCAAAGGACCACAAAGGACCCAAAAAGACCCCATAGGACCCCAAACGACCCCCAAAGGACCCC